ATCCCTCTTTACGGTGAAGCTAGCTCAATACCCTTCATCGACAGGGCACACACAACGATACACGTCGGATAGTCGTCACCTGGCGTCATGAAGTAACGTACGCCGCCGGTTGTGCTCATGTTTCGATTGGTGTATCTATTCCCAGCGTGCTTTTTTCGCCGGGCTACATCCTCTAGGAGATATCCCGTAGTTTGGGATTGATTGTGCGATATGCTAGAGTATGATACAGCTCTCCACCATCCGTGCGTGACCCCGATTGATCCATCAATACCATCGATAGACTGGCGCCCGGAATAGATCATGGGACGAAGGCTCACACAAGAAAGTGGGTACCGAGAGATACGCTGTGGAGTAAAAAAAAAAAGTTCAAATTTCAAATTCAAAAAAAGAGCTTCGCGTCGTGCGGATGATGCTGCCCCGAGAGATGCATACTTGTAGTACGTTGCCCCACAACAGGGCAACCTTGTCCTAGTTTTCGATAGCTGTGTGTTTGCCGAGTTCGCCATCCCGACACACCTACCAATCTTAGCAGCAGCCAAGCCTTCTTGTCCCTTTCTTGCTCCATCTCTCATGTGACTATGGATGCATCTACGTAAGCTGCAGCTTACAGCAGCAGGCTAGCACAGATGGGCACATATGTACAACGCACATCTCTGTCCGCTGTCCATGCCTGCTCCGCCTCCCCCCATCCACTGTGTGGGCTAAGACAAACACTGCAGAGCACGACCTTCATCATCCGGCTCCGCCACTGGTTATAACACGACATCCGTACCATGATATTGCTGTAGTTGGTGCATCTGTCTGCCTTTTGTATCATCATGCCGCGCGGGAAAACACACGCTGCTGCTCACCGTTCCACAACTCGTACGATGGCTCTCGCAGCATCAGCTCGAAGGCCTAGTCCCTGGAGCTTGAAAGCCCTGAATACAGCCTGTGCCGAAGACATCCTTCCGAGAGAGTGCGGACACACGACACAGGGCGTAGCAAACAGAGCGCTACGGCTATCTATCTCTCGCTCACAACCACATGGAGCTGATCAAATGTTCAGCAGCGGCGTATTTTGGTTTTGAAAAACACGCTGCTCGAACCTTTGGAAAGCCATTTCTTCGAATTTGGCCGGTTGGCGTGCTCGCGTGTGTGCTCGTAGCACTCAAAGGAGAGGGTGGGCGAGAGGGAGCGAGAGAGAAATTAGCGTGCACAACGACTTGAGGTGAGCACAGGACGTACGCATCCTCCAGCTCCTTGTGTGGCGTAAACAATTGGTCGGATCGTTGAGATTTGAATCATACCGTGGGTCGTGAAATTTGAAAAAATATCCAGGTTTGGTTGTTGCCGAGTGATGGTTTCCAATCTCCGTTGCGAACAGAGCCGGCCTTTGAGCTTGTCATGCATGCATAGATCTCGGTATTCACATTGAAAACTCTGGCACGACATGGGCTTGATGCTCTGTCGTCTTAAGACTAAAACGCAAGCCCTTGTTTGGTCCCGCAGGGGCACGCTCGAAATATGCGTCCGTGTACAATACATTCGTGTAGACTATGCAGCATGTGATGCGAATTCGCCAACAGCGTCATTCGTCATCTCTCAGACCTTCCTGTTCGGCTTTGCTGCGTGCGATGGGATGTTGATGCCGTTCTTGCACACCGAGGCGATTCGGACTCGCACAAGCAGAGGCGACACTTGGCACCAACTGACGACGCCATGTGAAGGGCGTATAGTCCAGTATAGTCTTCAGCCCTTCAATCGTTACGCAATCCTACCTGTACAACAGTACAGCCAGGCCCTCTAGAGTTCGGGGTTGTGTCCTGAAATTTTACCGGCACTATACCGGGCACCGGCACTATTCAGAATAGGGCCTCATAGCGCCGGTCCGACACTATTGTGGGTTGGAATATCCCTCAATAGTGCCGGTGCGGCACTATTGAATGGGGATGTGTGTGTTTTCATGTGTGGCGCTCACGCTTTGCGGGGCCAACAGAGTACGATGGATCCCAATTAATAATGGACGAAGCTAAATGTCAGTCCTCTTTGCCGTCCTTCGATGTTACAACATAAAAGAAAGACAAAACGAGAGAGAATCACAACAGGAAGCGAGCTGCAAAGAAACAAACAACCATGTACCGCCCACCATCACCACGTCGCGACAAAGCTCTCTCATGTCTGCCTGGTGCTCCCGCTTCGATGTTGCAAGAAAAAAACAAATCTAAACCAAGCATAGCACGACAGGAAGCGCACCGCACGAAAAAACAAACAAACATGTACCGCCTACCCTCACTCCGTCGCAAACTCCCTATGCTATGTCCGCCTAGTGCACTGAACTGATTCAATGTTGCAAGAAAAAAAAAACACAGGAAAAGCTTACAGGAAGCGCAGCGCACGAAAAACAAAACAACCACATGCACCCCCCTCCCTCAATACGTCTCGACAAGCTCTCTCTGTCTGCCTGGCGCACCCGCTTTCTTAGTATTATTAGCGGAATCTGCGATCATCGCCATGTTCGCACACTTCACCTTCCGCACAAGGCATGGTGCGCCTCTGCGCAGAGCTGTTCGGGTCTGCAGCGGCACGTGAATCCTGTTTTCTGTGTAGCGTCTGTCCTCCGGCTGTGTTGTGCGTGTGTTTTTTTTTATTGGCATCGACCGCGCTATCCGGCTGACCAATGAAAAGACGTCAGTCTCAGTGCGGTTGAAAACAAGAAACATCTCTAAATGCCACAAACTGGGAACCCGTGAGGGGGCGGCATGGGGGAGGTGGAGACTAACCTATTCTCCGGATCAAAGACAGAAACAGCAGCAACAGAACAAAATTGCACACGTTTACGAAGGCTGCTACTTTGCACTCGAGTTCGTTTTGGAGTGCTTTCACCATCATCTTCTTTGCTTTCAACTCCATCGTTCTTGTGTGTGTGTAAACGGGCACTATTGCGGGGCGCTGTGGTGCCCAATCGGCACTGTATCGGGGTTGCCCTCAATCGTACCGGACCGGCACTGTCGAGGGTGCGGTCTGTGTCCAGAGATTTTCCCGGCACTATACCGGGCACCGGCACTGTTCAATCGGCACTAAAGAGGGCCTACTACTATACAAGATCACGACGAAGGTGCAGTTTCGTCTGCAGCGGAGGAGTTTCACTATTTACTGCATATGTTCATGCAAGAAATCTGTAGAGCGGAAGCACATGTTCGCTACACCATGACTTGTGGTTGTGACCCGGCGCCATCGTGATGCCATGTAACCCTGATGCTAAGGAGTCTACAACTACGACCAGATTGCCGTATCAGTGGCAGGGTTCTCCTTAACGGCGCCATCGCATCCCATGCCCATTGGTACTTAAATATCTTACGGGTTTGGTCGGCTCCGTCGGAACGGCAACGACCGTATGCTACGCAGGCGGCCAAAGACTCGTCCGATGGCGGTGGTTCCAAGGGTACAGCAGCAGGGGCGTCACAGCGGTCGTGGTGGCGGCAGAGGCACGGCTTCGTCTTCGTCGTCGTCGTCGATGTCCGTTACCAAGACAACGACCCCGCGGCGAACGGTTACCGCCAAGAAGGTGACAGCATGGGGCACAGGAACGGGTGGGCTGACGAACCGTTCGTGCTGATGTTTGCGTCCCCGATGGCAAATCTTGTTCGAATGGGTGGTAGTGCAAAGTTGGTCTGACGCAAGATATGCGTCGCTAGGTGTTCCCGTAGATGGGCCTTTGTACCGTGGCGCGAAGGGGATGGGATGGAACAAGGATGAAGAGTACTAGGCACCATGGACGCGTATTTGAGGAGCTTGAGCGCTCCCGCGACGGGAGACTTCGCTCTCCCATCGTCTCGCGGAGGCACAGTGATCGCTGATCGGTATTTTGTACGCTGGATGTGCCTGCTGCAGCCTCCGGCCGGGAATCGAGTACAACCCGTTCTCTTTCGTGTGACATGCACCCACAATGTGTCGGCGCAGTTGCTTTAGAGGAGGAAGAGATAACAGCAAGCAGGGTACGTGCCAGTCAGCGGTTACATTTGACGGACCCGCCCCCTCGAGTCAGACCACATTTTCGCTGAACAAAGGAGGCAACAAAATGCCGATTCGGAAAAATCTGAGGTCACTTCCCCGATCCTACCACCGGTAGGACCGCCTGTTGGAGTCATCGCGAACACATGTTACACACGTCGTGTCTCGACCTCTAGAGAGTCCAATACACGGCTCCTTCCTGTAGACCACGGCTGATGGGCCGTACACCCAGTAACATCTCAAAGCAGCCAGACCCTACGTGCGAAAATACTGATGCCCACTCATATTGAGGGTAAGCTGGTCTGTGGCCACGGGGATCTACCGAGTCAAGTGTAAGACCAGTGCGGGCAGAGGGAGATACTTGATGGGGAGGTCGGAACGGATTCCATTGTGAAGTCAGCGACAACAACGACAGCACCCTACCAGGTATATGTTTTCCGCACCATAGCTTTTCCCCCGAGAAATGTCGTCCCGACACATGTCTCTGTTCGTCCATCTCCCCGATTTCAGAGGGCATCCAGCAGCGCCCGGTCCTCTCCCAGGCTTCACCTCACACAAAAGCGAACCCCAGCCAACGCTAGACGCGGCTCTGGCCCCGTCGGAAGCCGGTTTGCTTCCATCCAACGCCAGGCAAGCCCACATGTTGCTCTCGTCCATAGGGATCTGGGGTACACTGGTACACTGGTGGCGTGACCATGAAGAAGGCTCCGATGCTCGCATGTTTGCACCCACTGCACATTGCCTACTGCTCCATATAATGCTTTGTCGTTGTCTACCCTCCCAATCTACCTTCGCGGGTGAGAAAGGCAAGCAACCTCCCCCTCTGTTCGGTAGACCATTTTCACCTCCCTGCCCTCGCCCTGCCGTGGCCCCTTTCACAAACTTTATGGCTTCTATTTACCTGGTGGTTTTGGGATTTTACTGTGTCACGTACACTGCAAACGCGTGATAACTTCCATGTTTTCGTCCCGTCCAGCTTTGTTCGTTTTGTTCTTGCTTGCGACCCCCACGCCGTCTACATGTGCTACCCGAACGTGTTGTTAACCCCCGACGCACAGCGCACGAAAGCCAAGGGAAGGACTTCCTCTGTTGGCGCACACCGCGACAGCAGTGGCGGTCGCACCGCATCAAGCAAGGCGGCGAAAGCGGCCTCGGCAGCGGCAGGCGGAGGAGCACGGAAAAAGTCGTCGCCGGCAGACGGTGTGGCGAAGCTCATGATTGATCTCAAGGGAGATATCACTGCGGTCATTGACAAGGCCATGGGAAAGGTGGAGGCTGAGTGCGGTACCTTCGGTGAGAGCGAACGATTATTATTGTTGCTTTTCGGGACTCGGTGCTTCTCTCAACTGCAGCAGCGTCCACTCGTGTCTCTGATGGTGGTACTTTTGTGCCTTGTATAGGTAGGTCCCTCTGTTTGTACGGTGGGTGGCCGGTATAATGTAGGGCGGGTTCCATCTCTTGGCACGGATGAAGTAGTCAAGGTGTGCTACACTCTGAACATGGCGGGTGAATCGACCTGGCACATCCGCGCCCCGTGCAGGGACCACTTCTGTAGGTACCCTCTGAAGTCATCTTTCCTAGTGGGTTGCTTACCCAACCAAACGTAGTGCATGCTATATCCCGTCCGACGAACATAATATCCTGTTACCGTCTGGTGCGTGGTGGCAGTGACGACGGTGCTGGAAAGCTGCTCCGCTGGCGTTTCCGGGCGGGAGGAACACTACGAGACGGCGGCCGCGGCATTGCGCGAGATGAAGACAAGGCAGGCCTCGATGGCTTCCCGGCGTTCGGAGATGCTCAAGGAGGTCGCGTGAGTTACGCGTTCTAGTTCTTTCTCGCCAGTGTACCTTCGCGATCTCGTCGGTTTCGGCCGTGAAACGGATACACCTCTTCCTCAACTCTCGCAAGTCCAGCTCTACATTCGTATTTTTTTTCTCGATTTTTTCGAACCCCAGGAAATGTACATTTGCCGTCATTTCTGTCTGCTCTCGCAAGAATCTGCACCTCCCTTCACAAGCTATCTCACTGTTGTGTCCACTGTCATTTTGCTGAAAGTCTTCGAACAATCCTCCTTGAGCTTCGGCGAAGGCACGTTCACTACGTATAGATTCTCCTCCTTATACCCGACGTTTTCTTCTCCGTTGACAGGAGCAACAGCAGCAACTTGTCAGCGGTCGTCGAGCGCTGTAGAGCTGCCCTGGACAATCTGCAGCAGGCGGAGAGCCGCAAGCTCAAGAGCGGCGTGAGTATACATTACGATGAGTAGCCCTCTGACACCGTTCGGTGCTCTTCTTCGCGAAGGGAAGGGTGGCTAGGCCGAGACCAAGTAGTTAGAAAGCTCAAGAACGACCGTTTGCAATGCTGCCGAGGATATCGGCGTCGAAAATACTCTTGTTGCGGAGGACAAAGAAGGGAAAAAGTCACCGCGGGCGTGATGCTACCCTTCTGGCTCAGTTGCTAGGTTCACTTGAAAGACGATCTGACGGAAGGCTAGGTCCAAAGTGAAATGTGGGGGAGTTATTGTTGACGCAACACCATGTCGTCATCCTCGCCCCCTCGGTTGTGCTTGGGCTTAACCGAACAAAACATCGAGTCGCGGGAGCTGAATTATGTACATGTTGTGTCTTTCATCGAGGTCTTGTCTTTTATTTGCCTTGCCGTGTGGCACCTTCATGTTGCACGCCCATCACGAACATCTCATGAAGTTTCAGGAGAGGGTGGTATGGTGTGGATAGAGCAGAACATGTGACTTTTTGCGTCAAAACCTGTCGTGCATAATCGACCTTGATTTGAGTACCACCTGTGACACTTGACTCTCTTTTGGCTCATGTGCTGCTGAACTGGCGTCTGATAATTTCACGCACGCTGTCAAGGAAAGGTGCTTGTACAGCAGCAGTGCATTAGCTTGGCAACATTGCCTATGACCCGGAACGCTTTCGCATGCTGTACGTATCCACCCGCAGCTAGACCGAGCAACGGGGACGAAGAGCTGATTTGAACCGAGGCCGGTGCGAGGGTCCAAGCGGAAACAAATTTCCAAGCTCATCGCGCCACGATACGTTGACGGAAAATCTGAAAATTTCACCAGTCCTGTTGGTGTCAGCCTTCGAACGACGCGGAGAAAGTACTAGACTATGGCCGTCCACCTTTCACGTGCGTGCGTAGAGTATGAGCTGGGTTAGGGTTTGGAAAGAATGGTCGTTCCGAGGAGAGGGGTAGGGGTACGTCTTCCTTCCCGTGTCACCGCTATTGCAGCGCACCTTTTGCATAGCTCATGTTAGTTGTATGCGGTTGTCCTTTGCGCAAACGTTTCCTGTGGCACCTTTCCGAGTGTTGATATGGGCTAGCGGGAGCAATGCAGATAATTGAGGAATACATGTCTCCAGGCTTTTGGTCCCCTCGACCCTTCTTCAGCGCGGACCTACCCGGGAAGAGGCTTGCCCCGCAGATTCAAGACAATGCACTACATGATTCTTTTGATAGGGTCGCCCCTCTCTTTCTTATCCTCCCCTTCGGGACTCTGGTGAGAGTGAGCTTCAACGGTGGTTTGTCCGGCGCCCGGGAATCTGCCAACGTTGTCAGGAAAGAGGCCTCGGCCAACACGAAAAACGCCTGCAGAACCTACTCTACAGAACCGATTTCAAATCAAAATCCCCCGCGCACACCACACAGGACGTGCTGCCCTGCCGACTGCCCTGTACCACGCACAGCCTCTCTCCGCAAGCCCAAACCGAGACACAGCCTGTCAGCATAGAGGCTATTGACCAGAGCGCTGCTACGCACGTTGGCGAGAGCGCCGCGCACGTTTCGGCCGTTGGTGTGACTAGCGGCAGTCTGGGGGCTGCCGCCGCTGCGGACGAGGGTGCTACGCGCACCGCTGATTCGGTTTTGGATTTGCATGCAGTGTTCAATTCCTTAACGGCGTGGAGTCGAAATCGGCTGTTTTGGTCGTTCTGAACGTTGGCCTGCCTTGTTTTGGCACAACCTTCCGACAGCAATGTGAATCAATTGTCAAGTATCAATTGTCTGAACGATCAGCTCAGCACCGCCAATATGCAGTCCACCCATGTATGAAATTACATACCACGGCGTACATACCATATTTTGTCACGGTGTCTTTGCCAAAATAGGAAGGGACGGCCATAGAGCGTCCCGGAAGCCAAAATGTGCGTCATACACATGTCAAAAAGGTCTGCTCGTGGAGGCGGGCATCACTGGGACATAAGGGAAGGCAGGCAGGTTGCCGTACATACTTTTTGCAGCAAACCGCCGGTCTAATGTCGGTCGAATGATCATACTCCGTACTTCGTACCATCAGCACCATGACTCTCGGCGAACACGAGCACACACGAAAGAACGGCTACAACACTAGAACAGACGGGAAGAAACGCGTCAATCGCTGCCACCGCTGGCGGCCGTTGTTGCCTACCACCAAGCCGCAACAACACAAGAAACACTTTGGCAAGTCGCTACTCTGCCCCATGACGGTAACTTCACGACGCACGAAGGTTACTCCACGATTACCTTCTCTCCCCAAGTCGCCCCGCTAAACTCCGAGCTCCATTCGCTGTATCGCCCACCCCCGCCACAGACGTACCACCCATGTTGGGTTCCGAAACAAAGACCTCCCCCCCAACTCAAGCTCGCTGCAGCCGGCAATGTGTATCTACGCCAACACCAAAAACCTAGAACACCACAGCAGGCCCACCAAAAACCTAGACCCCCCACGCGCCTGCGGCTCCTCCTTGCCCTCCCCACGCGCCGGCGGTGCCTCCTTGGATTACATGCTGGCCTCCCGCACAGGTGTCCCGCTGTCAGGTGGAGGTGCACCTCTTGGACGGCCCTGTCTGGCTCTGGCGCTGGGGCGATCGCACCTCGTCAAGCACAGCGAGCTCTTGGGGCGTTGGGGGCAGAGGGTGGCTGTGGTTGTCGCTGCGCCACATTTCTGCATTCAGTCTTGATTGCTGGAAATTCTCGGGCGCACAGGAGCTTGCCGTGTCGAATGCTGTTGACGCGAGACCTAGCGAAGCCTGCCCCACCCCGGCACGAGGTGCGTTGCTAAGGGATTGAAAGGGAGACGGGCTGTCCCCTGCCCGCGCCCTCCCCGCGCAGAAGGCACTGGCCGGAAGCCCCACGGCAGAGACACCAGCGCCCCCCCCCTCCCTTCCCCCGCTGGTGGCGCTAGCCCCGGCCGCCTGTTGCAAGGCCGGAAGCCCCCCGCCAGGGCTGGGGCTTGGAATGCCCGCCGCTGAAACAACAGCGCACGCCCCTCCCCTTCCACCTCTTCCTGCCGACCCGCTCCGGCCGCGTCCGTTTGCCCCCCCCCGGCTGGTCTGCTTTTCCGTTTCCCAGAACCCCCGTCCTGCGTCGCGCCCACTCCCCCCCCCTCCGGCGTTTCCGGCGTTTCGGGTGCGGTCGTAGGCGTGGTAATGACTCCCTTGAACACCCGGCTCGTGGACGCGTTGTTTTGCGACCTCAGCTCCACCTCGACCATCTGGCGCGCTTGGTTCTTGAGGTTGTCCAGGACGCGTGAAATGCCAGGGATGTTGTCGATGCCTGCTGTGATGGTTGCGAGCTCCTTCCCGAAGGCGCAGCAGCTGGCCCACGCGCTAGCTCTCACGGTGGTTTTGGAGTGGGAGAAACACCCGAATCCGCAGGTGGGGCCGGCATCTCTCCCGGAACCCCCGTAGCTGTCGTCGCTAGCACCGCCGGCTTAGCGGCGAGCGGTGCCATCGTCCACGGCATAATTCCATCACGCCAGCGGGGTGCGATACATGCTCCGGTGAACCCGAGATCCGCGTCGAGGATGGCCCGGAGGGCATGTCGGAAGCCGAGACCTTCGACGAGGATCCTCAGGCATGTGTACAGGAAGAAGCCGTCGGGTCCAAGAGCGACGAGGTGGCAGTGGTTGGTTTGGGACCCAACGTTGGTGACGCGCACCAGTCGCTCCAGAACCTGGTCCCGTAGCAACTCCGCGAAGAACTTCACGGAGGTCCGGGTGGTGAGGGTGACATCGCCTGAGGTGGTCTCGTACAGCAGCCCCGCTCCAGCGGGTTCGCCACCAAGTCTGCCAGCAGGCGTTGAACATCGCAGTTACCCGTCGCCAGGGTCTCGGCCTTGTAGCCCATAGCCGCCAAGGCCTCGTCGGACATGTCCTACCGGTAACGGAAGGACGAAGCGCGAAGCGGGGTGCGCGGAGGAGGGGAGGGTGGCGATTAAGGCTGACATTTGCGGAGGCGTCACCCATGTTCGCCCAACGGTGTCATTGTTGGTGACGTGCATCGTATGAAAACATAACCGCGCTCCGACAGCAGCGCGCAAGTACGGCAGGGTCAAACGGGGGTGAGGGGGGGGGGCCAAGGTGCGATACCCCAAAGGCCTGGAAGGAGCGACACCCAAAAGGTCCACCCATTGCTAGAGTTATGAAGGCCAACCCCATCGTCATACCTTCACGCCGCTCAGAAGAAAACGCTACGTCGGGTCTCTATCCTCAACACCCACCTGCTGCTTCCCTCTCTCTCCCAGCCTCCACCCATCGCGCTGAACAGTTCGATGGATAGCCTTGGTGTCGTTCTGTTGAAGGTGCAGCACACGAATCGTTGCCTCTTGCTCTTGAACCATCTCGGGCGTCATCTCATTCTCCAACCATCGTGGGGGTTCGTGCTCGACAACGCCATTCTCTGACCTGGCGTAGTGGTGCAGGCACAGGCTGGCCTGAGCCGTTGGGATTGGACAAGCGACGGATCCATGGGTACGGCAAAGGAAGGGGAATCGACGGTCGGCCGGATGAGTGTGCCGGTATGCGAAGAGATACGGATTCAAGCAAATTGATTCCAACAAATGGCGCCGCTACACCTGTAACACGAGCGAGACAAGGTACTTGGGATGCATGTTGCAACCAACGGCGCTGGCTGCAGTCGACTAATCACACCCTAACCCCTCTACTGTGCTGCGGTCGCCGATACGCCAACTCTACCTACGCAAGTGGACTCACTGTCGAAACGGTAGGAGCCTCAGCGTTTCCTGGCCAGTTGAACGCCGCCAGAAACTTGCAATTTATCTATATTCCGCACGACGGTGGGTGAAAAATGTGCAATCATGGCGTTGGGCCGTTCGAAATCAGTCAGCACAAGGGCAGCGTCGGTGTCTTTAATAAAATAAAAGAAACATATTTGTTACGACGACACATACATCATCTCGTCTAGCAGCTTCAGCATCAATACTATACATGCCGTTTGGGGGTGAGATACGAAGGAAGACACCAGCGAAGACGGGTGTCTGCCGTGAACCTCCTACATAAAACTGCACAATCCTTTGTCGACCGGCATCTTTACAACGGACGGCGCAAAAACTTTTGTTCCGCAGATCCACAACAGCAAAGCTTCCTTTCCGCGCCAATTGCAGAGGAACACACCCCGACACGGTGGCACTTTCGCCATGAAGATGAGAGCGCATCCCTACATAGGTTTTTCAAACTACTATTAGCACTACTCGTACAAGTATACATCGACCACTAGACTACTGCTGTATGCAAAGGATACGTAGGATGCTCCGGGGGCTACAGGATAAAAAGTAAGGCGGGAGCGACTTGGATTAAATGGTAATAGCTTCTTTGAGGCGCGCCGATAGGGGAGCTTGTTTGCTTTCGCAATACAAAGGTGCCTAGAGGGATCGTGATGGGCATGCACATGCGCGAAAATATAAAAAAACTGAAGGTTTGGGGGGATCGATTTCCAGCAAGTTTGTCCGTGGTCTGTGCATGACAAATAGCCAGGAGATTGGAGTCCGTTCCACCATCTCTAGCCACTAATTACAATCTAGCATTTCGCCAGAGCTGTCCCAAGTGCTTTCTTTGCAATCCGTGCTCCTGAAAATCGAGATAGCACAGCATCTGCGCCGAAATCCATGTAGGGAACCAAACGTGTCTGCCCAGAAATCCAGGCACGCGTGATATTTTTGGCTTCCGCCGTGGTCTACTTAGACACATACACACCACCGGGAGGGCGAGGCAGGAGGGTGTGCCCGAACTATATCTGCTGTTGGCTATCGGCGGAGGAAGCTAGAGGGGAGACAAGAGGCACACCAATACGCAGCTAATACCGCCGTCTAAACGTCTCTATATTTGTGTGCGAGGGCCTAGGGTGTCACCTGTGGCTTCCGTGTGCTAGTCTGGTCACAAATTATACGCATTGGAGTCGCCTGCATCGTAGGTCGAACCGGATAGAGGTGTTATTGTTGAGCTGCTGTGTAGCTGACGATAACCCCCCCCCCTTCTCTACCTCGGAGTAGAGATCGCAAAAGACTGCTCATGGAATGCACACATGTCCATGGTAGCGGAGAAGGACAAAGCACGAGCAGGGAAGCTGCACCCAATACTCGCAAACCGGCACCTCGATACACGCATCAAATTGACGGTTTTCAAGAGCGTAATCGTACCGCCGCTAGAGTACGCTGGAGAAGTATGGGAAGGAAATAAGAAGGTAGTGAAAGAACTCGGGCGGCGTAGATGAAAGCAGCGAAAATCATCCTAGGATGCTCCAAGCGCACAAGTAATGCGGCCGTCAGGGTAGAATTGGGGGTCCGATCCCTACGGTCGGAAAGAGACGCAAGGAAGCTGACATGGCAGTATCGCATGTGCGGGATGGGAGAGGAGAGGCTGTCGAGAATAGTATGGGAGGCGGAGTGGGCAAACAAAAAGAGGGGTAGACAACCCACGGAATGGGTCAAGGTCGTAGAGGGAAGGGGTTCAACACCGACGAAGATGAAACGCTGGAAACGGAGGGTCTACAGGGGTTCAAGGAGAAGATATCTGTTGCTTGTGCCGAGAGAGAAAAGAAGAATCTAAGGAAAGAAACCGAGGATAAGGAGTGTCTAATATTGTACGGAATGTAGCAAAATGGAATAGTGTTCAAGGATAACCTACATGGATGGACCAACGGATGCAGGGACAAAGCTTGAGGTCAAATTCAGGACCGGGGACACAGGCGTTCGAGAACGTCGATGCAGATATAGGACGGTAGACGAGGAAGACGACGAGCTCAAATGAGATTTCGGGTTCGAATGGGAGGACCGTGTTCATGTTGTCGCGGAATGTCGGCTGTACAAAAAGGAGATGAAAATGTGTATGACTGAGCTGGGAAAAACACAAGGGAGGCACAGGGAGATGATTGAGGCACGGAATAGAGAGGAGAGGACGGTAGCTGTACTGGGGAGTAGGAAGAGGTTTGAAAAGGCGGGAAGGGATATCGTTAGGATAGATAGACTAGGGAAGATATTTTCGAGCCACCTTGGCAAAGTAGGAAGGAACGATTGGCCATCGGTGATCGGTCCTGTGGCAACAATGCTCCATCCTTTCGAAGACCCGTAGTCAATGGTCAAACCGCGAAGGCATGCAAAACATAAGAGTACGCCCCCCCCCACCCCCTCTAGCTCATGATGACAAGTACCACCCCGCCCCCTCCCTGGCTCATGATGATGAACCCCCCCCCCCCTCTGTATATCATGCTGGCACTCCCCAACTCAACACTGCTGCTGCTGTGTGGCAAAAACAAGCCAATGGTGACAACGAACGGGCCTGCCTACTGCAGGTATTTTCGTTCACAATAAATCTATGCCACCCACAAAGTCGTGTGCCGTTGTGCCTGTAGCACTGGCGAGATTATAAATATTTTGTGACGAAACAGAGGCTAACAATTTCACGGCAAAATATATGAAGATCGGGTAAACACCTGAGCAGTGGATCCTGGGAACACTAGTCGACAAGGTGGACAACAGAAAAAACTGAATCTCTACACGATTTTGACGTATTATAGCTCCGTGCCGCCTTTCCTGTTCCATACGACCAAATGAAGGACATGTCCACAGATGACTCGTTAGACCTCGATAATTGGGGAAGCAAATGCCAAACCCACAGGGTAGAAAAAGGTAGGAATGCATGCATTTCATCCCTGTCAACCCCTCCCCGATGTCTTCTTTCAGACAGGTCGAAACAACGCTGTATCTCTCAAGACTCCCCATGGATCATCCATATTCGTTCCTGGACTTCTTGAGGTGTAGGAGAACGATATTGAGAGTAGTCTAGAATATAACTCGAGGGGCTATATTACTTTTCACACCGGCATCTTTCGCGTTGACGTCGTGCGTACTGAAATACAACGCGTGGCAACACGAAAATGAACAATACACCCACAGCAGCGTCGTCGAGTGTGTAACAAAAAGTACCTCACTCCGTTCATGTATTTTCTTGCAGGTATACCTGCGTATGGGTGAAGACGCGACTCGTTCAGGTCGCATATCTTTGAGAAAACTTTCAAGTGCGTGACACCACGTAATAGGAAGAAGGCACCAACACAAGCAATCCGGAGTTATCTGCCAGTGTTGTCTTACACGACTTCACATACGCACCTCCGGATTCATCCTTGCCGTCAACGTCCCCCAAAGACTAGCGATGATCGGTGGTCCGAAGATCTTAACCAGCGCGTCAGCCACCCGCCCTGGTTGCATGCCTGCGTCGATCCGCGCGAACTTCCGCCTTTTGTTGGCCTTGGTGAGGACGGTTGGATCTTGTGTGCTCTCTCCATCGGACTCCTCGTCGGATTTGCCAGCCTGTTCCTGCGAATCCCAAAGGAGAGGAGATACAGCAGTGAAGACAGGTAATCATTTCTTCGGCCCAATATTCGACGCTCTGGTGCCGGTCGGACAATTCGGCGTTCCCTTTTGCGAGTACCACATCAGCCCGCGGACCTCGAGAGTGCTGTTACGTGTATGATAGATGGACAAAAAGCAAGTGTCGGATAACCACCGAATAATAAAATAAATGATGAAACAACCTGCATGATTTACACAGTCTGCTACTACTGTGACGGCGACCCACCGACCGTGAAAACCGCACTCGCCGACGTGCACGACCGTTACTTCATCATGCATGCTCCAATTCAAAAAAGCCGGAGTGAAGCGCACGAGCCAGAAAAACTGCATAAACAACGTAACGACAGTCGGGCGGACTGCACGCACACCAGGTGCTGCTACGCGGTGAACCGCCTCTCGCCGGGACTGCATACTTTGTATGAGGACGCCATAACTCCATTATGACGTAACGGTTGAACAGGGTCAAGTCTCGATTACAAGTAAATCTTGTACTACTGTACGGCGGTATGTTCATGTTTGCTGTTGATTTTGTAAGATCCACCGCACCCTTCAACTCCGAACGCGGAATCTCGATTATCACGAAGCTACAGGTACAGCAGTAGTAGAGTGCACCACGATAAACGGATACGCCAAGTCCTTTCACTGTTTATTTTGTGCTTTGTGACATGGAAGACGAAAGGCGCCATACGCGTACATTGCGTCGTTGCGAGCTCGTTTCCTAGAGCCCTCAGCGCGTAGGAAATCCGTCTGTAGGTCTGTCTATCCATCGAACTACAACAGTGAGACAAAAGACTTTTGTATGCATAGAATATAATTTGTACTGCTGTATGCGCCTTTCGGTTCGGGATGCTCTTAACCACGCGGTGCCAACGTCGTCGCTATTTCGCGGCACCGTCACTCCTTCTGCAGAAAATCTGAGAAATTCGGTCCGGGGCGCGTGGTATCTAGGGTCACGTTCCGCATTAAGGCGGTTTCGGGTAAGGTTCGGAAATCCTGTTCAAAAATGTGTAATATCCCATTCGGAAAAAAAGAACAACGTTCGGTCAAGACGCTTCTTGTTGTGCAGTCTTTTTTTATTTTTTGACCTGCTGGGTAGGAATGCGGCCATTTGTGTTTTTTCCAAAAATGCATCATGATGCCGCTCATTGCTGTACAGGTTTATCGCCGTGTCACTGGTGGTGCTGTAGCAATCCCTCACCATTGACCGAACCAACAGCAATGACACAGCCCCTCCGACAGAGAGCAGTTATTGGAACTCACATCTCAAGTTTCAGCAGCAGGGGTGATCTAGCGAGCGAGAAAATGAACACATTGTCCATCGATGTGTGTGTGTTGGGATGATGCCGCGTCTCTTTGAGGGTGCAGTCTTGAAGACTCAGGCTTGAACCCCCATGTATCTGCTGCAAATCGTTCCTCTGTTACTGCAGTAAACTTTGGTTCGGTTGGGATTGGAAGTGGGACTTTCGGTAGTCAGTCTTTCATTCCGGGAACTGGGAGTGGGGCTTTAGGTAGCCAGTCTTCCGTTCCACCCCCGCCTACTGCTGCAAGCGAATGGTGGGGTAGTGTCGCCAGTGGAAACACACTGATTCCTGGGGCTGACATTTCTAATTCAGGGGAGAAGTTGGGTGGGGGTCCTTTCAAAGTTCCCAAGGCTCCTGAATTTAACGGTACTGATGTAGTCTATCGTATCCTTCGTGGTCGCAGAATTTTCTGCTCAAAGCCCGTCACTACAATCTGGTAGAACCGTTCATTTATGAGATTGACATTCCGATTGCTGACGTTAACTTCGATCTGACCCCTTGGATAGAGAAGGGATACAGTGTGGGTGTGCTGCGTCAGAATGAAATGGCTTGGTGGTTTCTGTTTGACTGCTTGAAGAAAGACAGCCTGAAAAACATGGCTAGACATGCTGGTTCCCCCTTCAAGGCATTCCGTGCGCTCAAGGATCACTTTCTACCGTTGAGCCAAAGCCAGATTCGAGTGCAGGAAGAGAAACTGAAGTCACTGCGCATGCGTTCCAACGAAAATCCCGCAACCTTCTTCGCATCCATCAGAGAGACGCTTGGTGTGCTGCAGATGCTTGAAGTGAAGAAGGATGACAGAGAGGTGTGCAATCTGATGCTTGAGGGGCTGTCGCCCGAGTACAAGACTTTGCGTGAGATTCTTGTGGTGTTCTGTTCGAATGACCCGTCGTTCATCGAGACTAAAGTGCGTGAGCGTTACCTGGACTTGCTAGCACAGGGTGGTTCCAAGAAGCAGAGTAGTAGTGTTGCTCTGGTGTCTAGGCCTGAGAGGAAGATATGTCGAGGATTGGTATGCTGACACCGGCACTGCTTTTCACATGACTGATTCCCTCTCTTGCATGAAAGACTTGAAGCCTTGCCACAAAAGTGTGAATGGGATTGGTGGCGTGTCTTGTGAGGTAGCATTCTCTGGAACGCTGGAGTTGGTGTTTGTGACTGCTGACAGTGAATTTTCCGTGGAGTTGAAGAATGTGTTGTACTCTCCAAACTTAGGGTATAATCTCTTTTCTCCGAGTGCAGAGTTTGATGGCGAGTCATGGAATGGTCTTGGTGGTCCTGATGGTGTGATGACTGCTTTCAATGGACAAGTAACCTTTCAGAACTTCGATGGCATGCTGATTGCGTCTGCGTATCGTCTAGGAGAAGCCTCTGTTGGCACGGTGTTGGCTGCTCTCACTCCCGCAAACCCCAAGCATGAAACCACGATGGATATCAACGAGTTCCACAACATTTACGCTCATTCGCACGAGGGTTTGCTTCGCACTACTGCAAAGCGACTAGGTACCAAGTTGGTTGGTGACATGCATGCTTGTTCAGGGTGTTCGATGTCAAAGGCTATTCGAAAAGGAATCGTTAGAGAAACTAAACGTAGATCGGATAAAAAGTTGGGCAGAGTTTTTGTTGACCTGGGAGGGAGGAAGGACAGCGCGTCCGTAGGGGGTAAACATTATCCCATGATTGTGAAGGATGATTTCACGAGACGTACATGGATGTATTTCCTGAGAAATAAATCAGACGCTGGCAGTGCATTCCGGACTTTTCTTGCGAGTGTGCGTGCTAATGGTGTCCCGTCATTCGTTGAGATTGTTAGATCTGACAACGGAGGGGAGTTTTTCGGGGGGGAGTTTGCATCTGTGTGCAATGAGCTCTTGATCAAACAAGAGTTCACACCGGCTTATAGTCCGCAATATAATGGTGTTGCAGAGCGTGGGCTGGGATTGATAGAAGAGGCCGCGATGGCGGCTCGTATTCAGGCTAAAGTTCTTTTTGGGCATGTGCAGTTACCTAAGACTGATAAACTCTGGGCTGAGGCTATGCACTGGGCTTGCGAAGCGATGAATCACACCGCGTGTTCTGCTAACCCCGACTCTATGCCGCCGTATGAAATGTGGTATGGTGAACCCCGTCCCGCTAGACCGTATCCGTTTTTGAAGCCAGCGTACTGCAGGTGGCAGCGACCGACAAAGCTGCTGCCGAAGGGTGAGAGTTGCTTTTATGTCGGTCCTTCGAGAGACCACCCGCGTGATTGTCATAGAGTACTTACGAGGGCTGGGACTATACAGGAAACGAGGGATGTGACGTGGGAGGTGTTGCAGTCACAGCTCCCTCCGCTGCAACCTTCTCTGCCAATAGAGGTCGCAGAGGAGGGAGGGGAGGATAGTGACGACAATGTTGAAACCGAGGTATGGCCGCTTGTAGGAAGAGGAGTTGCTCACACACTTTTGAAACGTGATGCAGTGCCTTCTGGTGCGAGAGTCGAGGAGGTTGAGAGTGTTGGCGCAGGAAGTGTAGGCCCATCATTTTCTGTTCCATCTTCCCCTGCTGAACCGTCGTCCCTCGCGAACAATTCTTTTGATAGTGTAGCCTCTGTGTCTTCTCCAATGCCTGTGAATGACGGGGAAGGCCAGGGAGGGCAGGAATCAGGGGAATTAGAGATGGGGGATCCGGGAGGGGATGATGAGGAAGAATCGATGGAACAGGGAGGGCATGATGATGAAGAGTCGATTAGGTCGGGAGGACCGGTAGAGGCGGAGGCACCCCCTCCAGCCGCTCGTCGTCCGCGGCATGTGGCCGAGCTTGCTGACTTTAATACTGCTTCGCGTGAGAATAATGAAGTGAGAGAAGGTAGGACTCTCGCGCAAACTCGTGCAGTCAACCAGCAGAGTGTTCCGGGCCTTGTGGCCAGCCTAGGACCCATCTCCGCTACGGAGTTAGTGTATACACTGATGTCGGAGCAGAGAGCAGGTGATGAGACGGAATTGCCGAAAGAACTGGTTCAGGATGTTGAGTCAGTACCTGATAGTTATCAGGAAGCCCAGCGTTCAAAGTACGCAAAGATTTGGGAGGGAGCCATGTCTGCTGAGGTTGAAGGCTTGATAAGAGCAGCAACGTTCACGTTAGCAGCAAAAGTCCCGATAGGCTGTAATGTGATAGATGCTAGATGGGTTTCAAATGGAAAGCAGACGAAATAAGAAAGATAGTGAAGGCCAAGGCTTGGCTTGTAGCGAAGGGCTTCAAGCAGAAGTATGGTGTGGACTATCTTGAGACTTTCTCGCCTACCGCAAATGCTGCATCTCATAGATTGGTAGTGGCGTTGGCGTGCAAGTACAACTTGGAATTACTCCACTGGGATATTGAACAAGCATTTGTTCAGTCGGAATTGGATTACGAGGTGTTCATGAAGTTGCCTCCTGGCTGTGGTTCGATGTCAGGAAAGGTTGTCCGTTTGAACAAGAGTTTGTACGGATTGAAGCAGGCATCTAGAACATTTTACAAGAGGCTGGTGTCGGAGCTGAAGAGGATTGGTTTCGAGCAGTCTATGTCTGACCCCTGTGTCCTGCGTTTCATGATGGGAGACGAGGTAGTGGGGATGGTCGCAATTCATGTGGATGACATTCTGTGTGCAGGAACGAAGAGTCTGGCTGAGGTGGTCGTGGCAGCACTAGGTAACTCTCTTCCCACGAAGAATTTGGGCGAGGTCAGGTTCTTTCTTGGTTGCGCATTCGTTTATACTGCTTCGCGTGAGAATGATGAAGTGAGAGAAGGTAGGACTCGCGCTCAAACTCGTGCAGTCAACCAGCAGAGTGTTCCGGACCTTGTGGCCAGCCTAGGACCCATCTCCGCTACGGAGTTAGTGTATACACTGATGTCGGAGCAGAGAGCAGGTGATGAGACGGAATTGCCGAAAGAACTGGTTCAGGATGTTGAGTCAGTACCTGATAGTTATCAGGAAGCCCAGCGTTCAAAGTACGCAAAGATTTGGGAGGGAGCCATGTCTGCTGAGGTTGAAGGCTTGATAAGNGATAAGAGCAGGAACGTTCACGTTAGCAGCAAAAGTCCCGATAGGCTGTAATGTGATAGATGTTAGATGGGTTTTCAAATGGAAAGCAGACGAAACAGGAAAGACAGTGAAGGCCAAGGCTAGGCTTGTAGCGAAGGGCTTCAAGCAGGAGTATGGTGTGGACTATCTTGAGACTTTCTCGCCTACCGCGAATGCTGCATCTCATAGATTGGTAGTGGCGTTGGCGTGCAAGTACAACTTGGAATTACTCCACTGGGATATTGAACAAGCATTTGTTCAGTCGGAATTGGATTACGAGGTGTTCATGAAGTTGCCTCCTGGCTGTGGTTCGATGTCAGGAAAGGTTGTCCGTT